CCTTCTCTAAAGGTGAATTTACTATGGGGGGAATCACAGAACTTCCCCCACAAAAGGTAGCTCGAGGGCAGCTGCCGAGCATGGCCAAGAACTCTCCCCAAAGGCAACTCTGGCCAGCGTCATCAGGCTGCCTGCCTAACAGTGAATGCAAATTTCATAATGTTTTCCTTCCTCTTTAACAGTAATAATATAAATGGAACCACTTTAAAATAGAGCTGGTGCCCTAACCCAGTTTGGCTCAGTGGATAGAGCGTCGGCCTGTGGACCAAAGGGTCCCAGGTCGATTCCGGTCAAGGGCACAAAACCTTGGTTGCAAGCTTCTCCCTGCCCAGGCCCTGGCCGGGGCTCATGCAGAAGGTAATCAATCGATGTGTTTCTCTCACATGGATGTTTCTCTCTGTCTTTCTCTCTTCTACTCTCCCTAAAAATCAATGGAAAAATATCCTTTGGTGAGGATTAAGAAATTTTTTTTTAAATAAGTAAAAATAAATAAAACGGAGCTGGAGCTGCCATACCAGCTGAACTGCTTTGCATGTCTTATGCTCAAACCTTGGAATGTTCAAAACAGAGCAAAATAACCTCTGGATTGAGCCTAAAGCAACATTGCTTCCCAAAACACTGTTTGCAAAGATAATAAGAAAGCAGTTATTATGACTACTGGACAAAAAATTTAAAACATTATTTAAAATTAATATCACTATGTTACCTGCACCAATGAAAATGTCTTGCTTCTTCTGTTGATATCATTGTTCCCCTTCCCATTCTCACAAATGCCTTTGTCTCCTAATTGGAGTATTATTTTAGCTTCTGATTGAATTAATGTTTCCCAAATAGTTATCCTTTTTTATCTCAATAAATGCATGTTGCCTCTCATTTTACAAGGCCTTTTATTTTTAGGTTAACACTCTCCATTCTTTAAAAAGGACACACCCTTGCCTAGCCCATATGACTCAATGATTGAGTGTCAACCTCTGAACAAGGAGGTCACGGTTCAATAACCGGTCAGGGTACATGCCCGGGTTGCGGGCTTGATCCCCAGTGTGGGGTGTGCAGGAGGGGAGCCGATCAATAATTCACTCTCATCAATGATGTTTCTCTCTCTTTCTTCCTCTCCCTTCCTCTCTCTAAAATCAATAAAAACATATTTTTTAAAAAACACACCCTTCTAAAGATATTTAAGTATCCTATATAATAAAAGGCTAATATGCAAATTGTCCCCTCAGAGGTTCCACCTAGCAGGTGTTCGACCACTGGCTATGACATGCGCTGACCACCAGGGGGTGGTGCAGACCGAAGAAAGGCCCTGGCCAGCAGCCAGCAGCTGGGGAAGAAAGGCCCCAATCAGCCCTGATCACTGGCCAGGACTAGGGACCCTACCCGTGAACGAATTTCATGCACCAGCCCTCTAGTACATAATAACTAACATTGACATAACACTGTGTGGCTTGCAGAATATTTTCATATATATACAGTTCTCATTTCATTACC